GCTAGGAATAAGCTGGTCTGACTCACAAAACATTTTAAAACTGGAAAAGATCATAAAAAGGACTCAAAAAGGGTTGAACAGAAAGCTCAGTTTTCTGGGATTCTTTTTCAGTTTCCCCCAAAGACTACAAGATAATTATCACTTATATCAAAAAGACATAGTTAATGAAGAAGTTGCCTAAACACAGATCTTTGCTTCTAAAACTCTTTCAGACAGCTTTGAGGAAATGGTCCCAATTTGGTCCTACCTCCCTGGTTCAAAGCAGAATTGGTAACATAGCTAGATTTAGCATCTACTCCCTGGGTGGTTCAACTAACAATGTCAGGTTGTCTGAACCCACCCAACGGCACCAAGGAAGAAAGATCTGCCCATCTGTTTCCAGGCAAGATGACCCCAATGAAGCAGTTCTATTCCGTACCATGTGGGATTGCTGAGAGGCAGAATCAACTCAACAGCGAGGGGTTTATTCGTTTTCACTATCCATTCCTCTTCCAACCTCAATGCCTCAAAGATAGTACTCGTATACTCATCTTCACTTATGCCTCAATAAGCTGTCCTTCTGCCATTTAAAATTTACCAATGCCAACAGAATGTGGGACCCCATCCAGAGAAGCAGCAACACCAGAGATAGAGGCAGAGATGAGGACATGGAGAGAGAGTAGCTGAGGACTCTAGACTCATGGAAAGAGAAAGGCTGTGTGCTGGTGGCCAGGATGCAGGCTTGCAGAATGTGCCCTTTGGTTGTTTAACTGATGATACGTTCCTGAGTGTTTTTCTGTACATCTCCCCTTCAATAAAAAAAAGAGGGAATAGCAAATACTGTTGAATGATGATGCAGAAAAGATTGCAATGAAACCATGAGTATAAAATCAATACTGTCCCATGTAAACTATCCCTCAATTCACAATAAAAACTTAGGGAAAAAAATTGACCAATACCGCCCACTTCTATAACACTTACTCAGTGACACAGGGTCACTATGAGTCAGAAGTGACCCCATGGCATTTAACAACAATGATACCAAAACCCTGGATCTTGACACTGAGTCTTTCTGCCAAGCACAATGCTCACATAGGCCATTTCTCTGGGCCCCTCCCAAATCCGCGGGTCTCTTTTATATCTTCTATCTTAGCAATCATAACTGATGTAGTTACTGAAGTCAGAAAGTAGCCAGGTCAGTTTCTCCTGATTCCTTCCCACCAAAACCTGTTCAGTCAATCTCTCTTAGGTCTCTAAGGATGCACTCATCCATTCTGACCAGCCCCCTCCCCCCACCCCCACAAAAAGATTGAACCAGAAGCTGTTGAGTCAATTCCAATTCATGAAGGCCCCGGACTCAGAGTAGAACTGTGCTCCACAGAGTTCTCAGTGCCTGTGACCTTTCAGCGTCCATCCTACTTCAGAGGCACCACTGGTTAGTTAAGCTGAACGCTTAATCCTTTGCCCATTCAGGGATCTTATTTTGACCATAGCTTTAAGCCTGGTCGTTGTGCCTTGAAAGGCCTTGTACATGCTCATTCGTCTCTCCAGTTATGTTCCATATAACCCCTCAGAGGGGTTGCAAAGCTGCGACACTCCTGTCCCTAGCTCCACCCTACAGCAACCAGAATAAGTCTGCTTCCTCCAATTCTTACGGATTCCCCCTCCAACACTTGCTGCCAAAGTCACGCTTCCAACACTCAAATGTCATCCCCACACTCAGAAAAAAAAGTTACTAGAAAAGTCTACCACAGAATAAAGGCCAAATTCCTTTCTCCAGCCACAATCTGCGTGTCCTACCAGTACCCTCGGGACACCTGGGTTCCGGGCCCAGTTTTAGAAGAGAGAAAGAAGGCTACTTCAAGCCATTTCTCTATCGGAAATACCTAGGGAAATTCAGTGAAACACTTTCCCCCACAACCTCCACAGTCTAACCTTTTCACAGTACGATGGCTAATCTACGATGAACTCCAGGCAAACCCCCACCTCCAGTCCCTGGGCCACTGCCCACTCTGGTTGATGCAGAACTCTGCAAGGGCTACTTCGCCAGCAGGGGTCACATGATAGTGAAGTGTTTGCGTCTCTCTTCACAACTGGAGAGCAGAGGCGTTGACTTAGTCACCTTTATATGGCCAAGTCTAACACTGTGCCAGGCACACGGAAGGTCCAAATTAAATACATGCAGGGCTTCTGGGGTGGTGCTGTAGGGTCAACACCGGATTACTAACCACAAGACTGGCAGCTCAAACCCACCATCCGCTCCTTGGAAACCCCTCTATAGGGTCACTGAGAGTCAGAACGGACTTGACAACACGCAGCTGTTGATGGCCTCAGAAACAAAGAGGCGCTCCTCCCCTCTGGGCTTTATCATTTCATCAATTAAGTGCCTTCGTGTTGATGATTGTTAAGTGTAAGGTTTTCTTTGCATGAGCAGCCCTTGGAGCAGCTAGGGGACTTGAACCTCCGACATTCTGATTCACAGTCCCATACTTATCCTACGGCACCACTACACTCCCCAATTAACTATCTAAGTGTGTTTAATACAATAAACTCTGTTCCCTGAAACCATAAAACTCACAGATATGCCCACTAACAAAGGTATGTGTGTCCAGCATCAGCATGTTGGAATATTGAATGAATCTAGCTTTTTATTAAGTACAGACTACGTGACATGATCTATATGTTTTAGGCACACAAGCGTCTCGGCAGGACCACTGACCAACACACTTAGATGATAAAATGGTACAAACACAAACATGATTTTTAACTTAAGAACAATTTAAAAACAGAAGAGAGTTCAAGTGTACGTCTACAAATCTACTATACCAAATTTTAACTGTAAATTCTTGAAACAGATATCTGGGCTAACGTGTTGTTAAATGCCATCGAATCGGCTCCGACTCAGCGACCCTGCATAGGGTTTCTGAGGTTTCAATCTTTGCAGGAAGAGACCGCCTCATCTTTCTGCTGTAGAGCAGGTGGTGGGATCGAACCACAGGCCTTGTGAACATATACAGCAGTGGGAGGCACATCAGAGACATTTGGGAAGACTTTTTTTCTTTAAACTGATTGAAAGGCACAAAAGTAAGCCTGCGGTCTTGGTGTCCAATTCGGACTCACAGTGATCCTGTAAGACAGACCAGAAATGCCCCATAGGTCTCTAAGAGTTACTCTTCACAGAGGTAGAAGGCCTCAGTTTCCTCCTACAGAGCAGTTAATGTGTTTGAACTGCCAACTTTTAGGTTGGCAAAGCACTTAACCACTGATACCACTAGGGTTTCTTTTATGGAAAGTAGTAACACCCTTGTTTGGTTCAAAATGTAGGACTACATTTTTACTATACATATTGAGGCATGTCACTTGTATGGTGTTGGAGAAGAATATTAAAGACACCAGGGACTGTGAGAAGAATAAACCATTCTGTGCTGAAGTACAGCCACCATGCCCCTTAGAAGCCAAGATGGCCAGGCTTTGTCCATCATACTTCAGACATGTTGTCAGATGTCCCTGCAAAAGGACATCATGCTTTTGATGTAAAGTTGTGGGATAGCTAAAAAGGGGGAGACCCCCAACAAGATGGATTGGCACAGTAGCAGCAATAATGGGTTCAAGTGCAGTAGCAGTTGTGAGGATGGCTTAGGGCGGGCAGTGGTTCGTTCTGTTGTACACAGGGCCACTACAGGTCAGAACCAACTTGCTGACACCTAACAACAACAACAAAAAGGGAGTCCTGGTGTGAGACTGTAGAACCAGCACTGAACCACTAACTACAAGGTCGGGGGTTCAAACCCACCAGCCACTCCTTGGAAACCCTATACAGGGTCACCATGAGTCAGGACCAACTCAAGGGCACTTGACAACAATAATATAGTTGTAGGGAGCCCTAGTGGTGCTGTAGGATAAGTTCTGGACTGCTAACTATAAGGGCGGCAGTTCAAACCCACCAGTCACTCTACAAGATAAAGACAAGGCCTTCTGCTCCAGTAAAGCCTTGAAACATTACACAGTCGCTATGAGTCGGGACCAAATCCAGAGCACACAAACTACAGCGAGTTGGACTCGACTCAAATGTAGTAGTTTTGGTTTTAGGTACAGAGTTGTGTTCCAAGCAAACGCAGCCTGTCTTAGTTGCATTTCCAACTGTACAACAAATACGTGAATAATTTCTTTTTACTAATGTATACAGACACATGCATTCTAAAAAACACTAAGGGCTATAACTGCTGTTTAAGTAAATTTAACTGATACCACAAAGCACAGGAAAGAAAAACATGACCAATAAAACAGGTGTTTTTTGGACCTAGAAACCTGTTTTTTAAAACCAAAACTTTAACTAAAAGACTATTTGATAGTTTTATGACAAACATGAAATGAGCTAAATTGACCAGCAGATTTTTTTTTTCCCTGTGCAAAAAAGTGGCCCAAGTCAGTGCTGAACATTTTATCAATCAGAGTTTTAGCTTCCCACAAACTACACAAAACAGGCTCTGGCCCACACTGTTTACAACCTAAGTTCAGAGTCATTCTGGACTTGCAAATAATGGTCCCCAGCACCAGACCCCCTGTGTGGACGATGGTCCTCAGAAAAAGAAACCTTTCTCTGCTGGGCATCAGAAAAAGGGGTCCCAAGCCAGCAACTGTCGAGCCCCCACCACATACTCCGTGTATTGTGCATTCTCCTTAAACAATGATATTCAAAAGCATGAATTTTAACAGCCTGAAAAGATTAAGAGAAAGTGAAATTGGTATCATTTAAACGTCATGAACATTCAAGATTGCAAAAAACACCATGCAGAAAAGCAAATCATCCATCTCCATGAACGCTGTTAGATTTCTTAGACTTTCTTCATCTTTGTCCTGTTCCATTTGCTTTAGAAGTTTAAAAATAAACACCACTGCCAATTTACCTATTGTCACTTTGAAATAAAATATGGAAAATGCAAGGAATTTTGTGCTTTGTAACTTGTCGCCCTGAAAAGCTAAGTAAACATTTGACTGTAACATGAAGCAAATATACTTACATCTTTTGCCATGTTACCAGATCCGTGAAATCAATTCTAGAAATGTTCACCCTCCAGAGAAGAAATGATGATTTTTCTGCAAGAAGGAAAAAGAAGAAATGAGTACGAATGAAAAAAGTTAATATATCAGATCTTAACGAACGTTTCCCCCATCACCAACCGTACTGTGTTTCCAGATGACAGGAACTTTTCTTCATAAATGCATACACTTAAATCTGAAAGTGGGACTGGCAAAAGCAACTCCTATACTTATGATTTCAAAAGACATTTCAGCACAAGTGAAAACATATTGTTTTTTAAATTGGTAAACAAGTCTATAAAGCAAAATATGGAATTCCATTACCTAAAATGATTGCCACAACACCCTAACTTTCTCTCCCAAATCACCCACAGGGACACAATGGATAAAAATAACCCCTTTACATCTAAGACTGTCTTACCTTCACATTTCTAAAACATAATCTATGGCATAATTAGACTAATGAGTAAATTCAGCTCACATATATCTCTACAGGATAAATATACCACCTTCCACATTTAACCACCTAAGGCACCACATGTATTCACAATCCCACAAATCCATGTAACAGGAGACTAACTCCTTTATGTCCCAACCCAGACATTCAGACAAGCAAAAAGTCATCCCATAAAAACTCGTAGAGGGGCTAGAGGCTAGACAGATAACTCTGACAGGTGAATGTCCAGAGTTGCCCCAGGCAGTCCCTCGGTCAAGGAACTGCTTTTAGCCACCCCATCCCAACCCCCACACCCCAGCCAGTCTGGGTCCGGGCTCTCTGACCTGTCACTAGGCCTCAGGAGCCACCTCCACCCAGAGGAGTCTCCCTTCCCCCGCCCGCCACCGGAACCGGCAGTTCTCAGCCCAGAGCTCCCGAAAGGACCAGGTCGGAGGAAGGGTCAGCCCCTCCCCGTACCCTCCCGAAGGCGCTTGCTGCAGGCCGGAGCAGATCCGGCCGCCGGGGCCGGGTGTGCGGGCGGCGCGCTCCGGCCAGGGACTAAGCCGCCGGCAGCTGTGCAGCCCTGCCGCCTGCGACTGCCGGGTACACCGCCGGGCAACAGGCGCCCCCCGACCCACTCCCCATTGCCCCACACCCTCGGGTGACCGAGGGGCGCGCAACGATGCTTATCCGGGGCCTGGAGGGCCTAGCTCCGGCCCTGCCGTCCTGCCTGCCCCCACCGGGACCCTGCTGCACCCATCCCAAGCCCCCACCTCGCCCGCCCAGGCAGAGAGCAGAGTCTCGCAAGAACCCCACCACCCGATCTCCTCAGTTGGGCCCTCTCCCGCCTAATTGCTTCTTCCACCCTTCCCGCACCACCCCCCATCCCGCATCTTAAGTGGAGGTCAAGTCACCTGGAAAGCTGCTTCCTCCCCCGGCAGCCCACCCCCCACCCACCGAACCGAGGCAGCGAGCCCCGCAGCCCACTACCAACTGCAGCAGCTACAATGAGGCGCGGTGGCGGCGGCAGCGGCGACGGCGGCGTGGGGGTGCGGGGTGGGGGAAGGTTTACCGACTGCACATGTGCAGCGCTCACAGAGCACACCAGGAAAGAGCCCCAAGGAGACACCAAACAGTGCGCGCGGCGCCCACACGCAGGCGAGGCGGGGGCAGGGCCAAGGGGCCGGCCCGCCTGGGACCAGTCCGGCCGGGGCGGCCCCCTCACTGCCGTTGGCCCGCCCCCCGCGCCCTGCGGCCTGCCCCGACCCCGGCCCGCCCAGAGCTGCCTCTGGGACCAGGCACCAGCGCACGCCCGGTGCCCCCACCCTCCAGGACCAGCTGCTTGTCCTGCCCTCCACCCCATCCCCCAGCTCCATCCTCCATTGGCGCCTGCTGCTCTGCACCCTCCCCCATCTCCATCCTCCCGGGGTTCCCGCCCCAGGGCATCCTCTTCCACTCCCGAAGCCTCCGCCGCCCTCTGCCCGCTTGCACCCGCCAGCTGCCTGCAGCTTAGGGATTCCCGGCGCCCCGCACCTGGTCTGCGACCGCGCGCGGGCTTAGGGGAGCAGATGCTAAAACCTAAGGCTCAGGGCGCCACCGACCGGCCCCGGCCCCCGCACTCACAGGAGGATAGCGCGGGGTGGGGAGTCCCGGCCGCGCTGGCCAGACTGCGCTGCACCCCCACTTTGCTCCAGCTCCTCTCCGTGGCCCCAGGAGCAGCGGCACTGGAGAAAAAATTGAAACTTACACTTTGTACCGGGAGCGTCGAGCAGGCGTGACGTGCCGGCAGCGCGGTGACGTGCGGCCACGAGCGGCCCCATAGAGACTAGCCCAAAGTGTCAGTTTCACCCCCGCGCGCTCCGCCTCGGGGAGCGCGGCGCGCCTGCGCGCCGTTTTCGCGCCTTTGGCTCCCTCCCTCCCTCCTCGCCTCCTCCCGCCAGTTCTGCTCCGCCCCCGCCTGGCACTGGAAGAGGGGCTGTTGTGTGTGTGTATATGTGTGTGTGTATGTGTGTGTGGGCGCGCGCACGTGTGCGGAGAAAGGAGGCCCGGTGGAGAGCAGTGTGTGTGTGGCCGCTGGCGGGCAGGCGGGCGCGCGGCGCGGAAGCTGCTACCTACCCGGGCGTGCGCTCCTTGCTGGGGACAGCAAGTCTGGCACAGCCGCTTTAGAGCTGCCAGGAGCCCGCAGACACCCCGCCGGGCCACTGCTCCTTACCACGCCCGTGCCCACGCCCAACCTTCACCCAGATTCCAAACAATTCCATGCATCCTTGGTGCCAGCCCAGGAGGCATCCCGGAAGTGAGTTCAGGAGGGAAAACCAGGCAGCCCAGTTGAATCTGACTGTAAGAAAGGCTTCAGCACCAGTTTGACATATTGAACCCTTATAACTGGAAACATAATCATGACCTTGATCCCACCACTCCTAAAACCATGGAGGGTTACAGGAGCACAACAGAGGTTGACTGGTACACTTAGACTCTGGAGTCCAAAGTTCAATAAACCTGGTTAGACGGCAGTGTTCTCCCTCTCTGCCTCATAGTGCGATGCATAATTAACGATTGCAAAGTACTTTGAGGTGTACAGACCAAAGGCGCTCTGTATGTGCAACATATTATTATTACATGACACCCCTACTTAGCATGGTTTCACAATTTAACTACTTTTATGCTGATTACACCCACTTCTGCTTTCCTGGTAATACACTGACCCCTTAAATCTCTGTTCAATTGTCTTAAACTGTTAGCAGTTTAATTAGCATTGGCTCCGTCTTTGAAGACAAACGAACAGCAGAAATCTTCATATTCTACTTCCAGATGAACACACAATGGATATTTTTTTAAAAAACACTGAAGGAGATGTTGAATAAAAGACAATTTAAGAGAGGAAGTCATACAAATTACTGTCTAGAGAATGACCGCATTCTTTGCTGGTGAAATTTATGCAATTCTTCACCCATTAAATTTCCATGATTTAAGAACCAACGTTTTTCTACTATATCCTACAAATAGTCATAATATCCTAACTCCATTTTTTGCCTTTCACAAAAAAATTATTTCTATTTTATGGCGATGGGGGCTAAGGAGCTGGGCTGCAAAGTCGGTTTGAACCCCAAGGTCAGTGTTTCAAGCTCAGCTCCTTGAAAACTCTAAACAGGGTTGCTATGGGTCAGCACAGACTCAACCGCACTTAACAGCAACAACAAAAAAATTAAATATTCAACCTTAGATCTCAGTTGCAAGCCCTTTCCCAACCTCTTAGTACAATTTTTCAGGGCCATCAAGGGCTTCAAATTTACAGCGACCCTGTATAGTGTTTCTGAGGATTGACTGGTGGGTTTGAACCCCAAACCTCTTAGACCTAAGTATAGCTATCACATAAAAGCCTCTCCAGAGTTGGTGGTGGTGGTTGGTTGTGTGGTGTGGAATGGGTTTCTGACGATGTAAATCTACTGGGGCAGACAGCCTCATCCCTGTCCGTCACATTCGAATTGCTGACCTTGAGGTTAGCAGCCCAACTCCTAATCCACTGTGCTACCAGTGCTCCTTAAAGAGTCAGATTTATAAAGGTGCATGTTAACTCATAATATGGGATCTTAAACCCCTTCTCTAAAATTCAAATTTCAAGTACTTCAATAATCCTACAGGACCATTGTTCTCCCAATAAGCCCATAATATCCTCTACCTATCTAATACTTCACACTCAACGTAGATCTTGGATGTAAATTGTCTAGTAATTCTATAAATGATGTACTCATTAACTTGATTCATATCACAATGGTTGGTATTCAACTCTCTATTCTTGTGACCAGATAGTGTCTTGTTTCATATGTATGGGCATAAGATTTGTCATGCTGAGTTAGGGTTCTACATGGTAATGGTTCTGTTCTGTGTTTTGTTAAAAGAAAGTCATCATCAACTGGCATAGCATAGTTCTCAAAGACCGTGTTCTACATCCAACGTTGGTTAATAGCGAGTGGGTCTTAAAAGCTTTGCTACAGTGCTCTTTCCCCACCCAGTGCCAAGAAGAGTGGAGAAGATCAAACACACATGGAAACAATTCATGCAAAGGACTAACGGCCTGAGAAACCCAGCCTCCACTGCTCTGAGACCAGAAGAACTAGATGGTGCCCAGCGACCGCTGCTGACCACTCTGAAAGGAATCACAATAGGATGTTTGAGCTGGAGAGAAAGAAACATGTGGAATAAAACACAAAATAATAATAAAAAGACCAGGTTTACTGGTCTGATCGGTACCGATGGGACCTAAGAGACTATGGCCCTTGGACACATTTCAAGTCTGGAACTAAACTCCACCCCTTTATCCCCCACCCCACCTCCATGGCTCAACTTTCAGGCCAACAATAGACAGGCCTGTAAGGTGAACATTAATACCAGGGAGGTATGTGCTCCTTAGAACAGCTAACAATAGGAAATCAAAGAGCAGCATTTGCTCAGGGATACAGCTCAGAAGGCATGGAGGGATGAGAAAGAAGGACGAATAGAAAGGAAAAATACAAGGAGGATGTGGGAAGACCACTGTTATTGGGTGGAAGTTGCCATCAATATCACTCAACAAAATGTGTATGAATTGTTGAATGGAAAACCAACTCATTCTATAAACTTTCAC